AGTAACAATACATTAAGTCAATATATTTTCTGCTCAGTCATGCATACCATTGGGTCCATTGAATTAAAAAAAAAATCAAGCAAACATTTTTCAATATAAATTTCATTTTGTTTGCAATTTGTCATTTCTCATTTTCTGTGTCCATTTTAAATTGTCTTGATTTAGATAATTGAATCGATCTTTGCAAATATTATATCATACATAACCTGAAACATTGTCACCTCTAATTCCATCACGTCAAATAGCCGTTGAATAAGCTGAAAGTAAAGAAAGAGAAAACCAGTAGAAATGGAAAAAGTCTGATATTTATTAGTCCATGATTGTGTCTTCAAGTGACCAGCATTTTTGGCATTTATTGACTGTCAATTTGTTCCCTATTCATATTCATTTTTGCTTTCAATTCTTATTTACAAGTCATTTTGTTTTCATTTCTCATTTACAAAGTAGTGTCAGTGCATTTTTATTCATCTTGTTCTCCAATAAGCATTCGTTTATTTCCTATTTTTGCAATTCTCGTTTTTCATATTCCACTTAATCCAGAAATTTACAGTTAATTGCACATTTATGATACATGTTACCTCTGCCAATCCATATCTTACCTTCTTGGGCAAACCTGAAACAACAAATAAAAGAACAGAACACAATTTTATAAGTAAAATGCATGTCATAATTATTTCTTATAAATCATTTATCACAATTTCTTTTTCCATTTTCCATCACGTTTCATTTTCCAGTAAATGTTCCATGAAATTGTCATTTGCTCATGATATTATTTCATGTATTCATTGCAATTTTGTATTGGAGAAATATTCCATTTTAAACTTGCTTTATTTTTGCTCAATAATTGATATTCTAAGAAAGAAATTATAATATGGATACATTTTTTACCTCGGCAATCCATACCTTACCTTCTCCGAAGACTAAATTAAGAAAAAATAAACAAAAATATAAAGAAAGAAAAACATTGTCAGCATATAGGAATTCATCAATTCATTATAATTCATCATTTTTGGTAGGCAGTGCAGCATCAATTTCATACATCCATGATGCCGTATTACAATTGTCCTTGATTTTTCAATTATTTGATTCAATAGGTTCTCTGTAGTTCTTTTCATTCCATTTTTATTTGCAAACATGTTTTCCAAGTACAGACAATTCTACATTTTTTTAAATTAATCTGTTTTCCATGATAATTATCCTCCAGCAATTGAAATCAACTTTGATCACAAACAAAAATCTATGCTATGATAAGCAAAATGTTTATACAACATGATACCGATACCTCGGCTTATCCATACCCTACCTCTTGGCAGACCTTGGMAAAGAGTGCAAGCAAATGTTAATACAATGAAAGTCATACTCGCTCGCTCTCTTTCACAACATTATCATTTTCAAATGTCTTTTCTTACACTCATTTTTTTTTAGTGCAATGGAAGCCACTCTCACTTTCTCGATATTTCTTACACAGTCTATCTTTTTTCAAATGCTCTTTTGTTCACTTTTGTCTTTTACAAATTTTTATAACAGTAAAAAAAAACATTTACAAAGTCAAAACTCACTGCTGTTTGCTTTTACAAAATGTTATAATAATGCTTTGCAAATTATTTGTTGAAATATCAACAATTACAAATCATAAAAAAATTCTCTCTTTCCAAACCATAACTCACTCGCRTTACARTGAATGCTTTACATAATTAGTACAATTACAATTCTGAAAAYCGCTCTCGTTATCTCTTTTGCAAGATTTTCTCTGTGTTTTATTGATTAAAARTACCATTTACAACTGTTGTTCACAGCATAACAATATTAATTTCATTGATACAAAAAAATTACAATTGCGATACTTCATGAAATTACAACATCAATATTATAGTGAGGTCGTAAAGTTTCAGATAAGTAAAAAAATTGCTGTGGATATGAAATTGTTAGTATTTGTGCGCATGAGCAAGTGACCAGATCGCTGTGTCCAGATAGTGCAGTCTACAAGTACGAATGACAGTTGGATAGCGTGACAACCATTTCCAGTAAATCGCCATATTGATTCGAACAGTCAATAGTTTGAATTTAGTATCTCGTAATTCAACGTCAAATCGGAATGTATAATATTTATTAAAAGTATTGTGTCAGAGTACATTTTCCGAAGAAATAACTACATGCCTAAGTTAAYTACCCACTCCAAACCCATGGGGAAGGGAAAAAAGTCCTAGAAAACACCTCGAACAAACTTATATTAACTATTAATTAGATTAAACATGCACCTAATATTTGTGACTCTGACATACTGAAACACTAACCCTAGYTTTTTTGTTGCTTTTCCGTTGCAAAACACTTTTTAACACATTTTTAATTAAGTATGTTCTCTAATATTAAAGATGTATTACATAATTATCTATAAAAGAATACATGATTAACATGGAATAGTATATAAAAAATATATAACTCAATGAACATCAAACAATAAACATGCATAAATATGTCATGCATTTGGCCTCTTGATGACGTTAAGCATCACCAAGCTCACCAAATAACAACTTTGTCACTTTTTCTCATCTACCTATGRTGTCGGAAGTACAGTAAGCATRCTCTCTCAAATCRGAAGWCAACACACACTCGGCACACACTCTCGTTTAATATAGTTTAAAGCTATGGTTTCGRAAWCACATGTCCAACCCACAGAATTGATTCTCTGAATATGATAAATCCCAGAAAGGAATCCCATTTATTGTTTAATAAATGGGGTCATTCTTGTTTTTATCATATTTCAAATAATCAATCCCAGTTCAGGAGAAAAYGCAACAAAGTCTGCATGAYGAACAACAATCAATATTAAGACTGAAACATTTGTTTCAGGGGGGACCTATAATCGCTGACCTAAACCGCCCGGCGAGGAATTAACAARTAACATACTCATTAAAGAGGACTGGTCCAGTTTATGGCGAGGGCGAGACCATACAAAGGACCATCAGTCATCAGCTTGGAGTTAGATCCCTTTYGTCGATGATGATGAGAAGATGACAGATGATGGTGGTACCTGATCCCACTGCGAGGTCGYGCTTCTTCCCTYTATTCATTAAAYGAGCAAGAAGGCRTGTCTCATGAAACCAWGGGTWACAAGAGACATCACCAACMAACCACAGATAATAAATACAGGTCCCAAGTGCACTGCCTCAATGATGAATATGAAACTGCAATTCCTCAACTAATAGCTTTTATCTCAGCTGGCAAAATTTCAATGGTATTTTGCCATGACCAGAATTTAAAGCCAAAGTGCCGTTATGTGTGACTTTGATTCAGACAGTGAGAGGAAATAGCATAAAAATCTTAACCCACACCAGCTCACCCARTGCTAAAAGTATTAAAAATCTAKCTCCTTCACTGTCTACAGAWAAAATATTTTATTGAATTTTCACCACTGGCAAAGRACATAGAGGACACTAGTCTACCCTGCTATACTTTCCCAACATATGAATATTACATGCCGCAAAGCTGCAAAGAAATAGCAAACAATGTTAAAACCTAAAAGATGTGATCCCTCTTCGTTATAATAAAATTAATTACATTAAAAAAATAAATAAAAACCCTATGTCCCCCTGCCAGTGGATTATGCCAAGATAAAAGCTCCTAAAATCAGTTGTATTTATTCATTTGAAACCCAGAAAAAAAAATGAAAATAAAAAAAACTGAAAAAATGAACTGAAGGGAAGGGAGAAGAAAGAAATTAAGAACAAATAAGGAAAATTGAAACCTGGCATGTAGTTTTAGCCATGCTACATGTATGATATTGATGTCTYCTTCTGTGTTTTTGGGTCCAAAGAGATTTCTTGATTTCTCGATATAATTGCTTCTTTGGTTGTGGGCTTGGTTGACATGATTTCTTTGTCKTGTTGGGGTTTAGTCTTTATCCCTGGTATTTGATGCCTTTATTCTTGATCATTGGACATTCTAAAGTTTCAAAAAACATTGTTTGTTCAATCGTATTTTCTTTGTAAAACCTTTATTCCTTAACAATTCAATTCAATAATCATTTGATTATCAAGCCACGATGCTGATGATAAAATGGTAGCTACTCCTAATCCTAGACAAAATTGCAATCTTATCTACCATTTCAAAATCACGGACTACGGAGTCTTCGCTAACGGGTGAAAGGTAAAGGCCCAGCCCCTTCCCACAAATTATTGGTATTGGCGCCAATGTTTTTGGCGGGAAACACTCAAGACAGAAAAAAAAGGGAAAACGGTAAAGCAAACGCGTACTACTGTTTTTTAAAGATAAACCTTTTAATAGTTTTCAATAAAAAAATACGTTTAGGCGCTGACTCCGTTATTCGCTCGTTGCAAAAGTCATGTCAAATTTTCGCCTGAGCGTTTCACCTAAAAAATGTTCGAATTTAGTGATGAACTTGCAAGCTAACAATTCAAATAAAATGACAGAGATAAATTTTCCTGTTGCTTTAATTTGTATTTGTGTCCGGTATGGATTGAGGCGGGGATTGAGGATTGTAAGTAAACGCACCTTTGCAATCCGTTTGCAGTCCAATGGCAACTCGAGTTTCAACAACTGGAAATATTTGGCTGCAAAAGTCCCTGCTTTCACCTTGGTTTTTTCTGAAAAAAAGAATAAAATATTTAAGTTAAAAACATCTTACTAAAATAAACCATATTTGTAACTTTTTCTGCGTCGTCTTGGCCAGCAAAGGAAATTTGGCGCCATACGTGGACTATTCCAGTTGGCGCCAAATCACGAAAGTTAAAAAGTTTTGTCTAAAATTCGCATAATTTTCGAACTTTTTCCCCCTAAGTCTACTTACTAACTTACCAAGAATAATTAAAGAAGATGTTGAAATGATATAAAAAAGATTAAACTCACTTCGGAAATGTTTCCTGGATGTTGTGCACTTGGTACACTTGACGACTCGGGCAAATTTTTCTCAAAATTGTACAAATTCATATTTAAATTGCCTCTTTCGACCTTCCTTTAGCAAGTACTGTTGCCAACCTTGTTTGAAACTGCAATAACAGAAAGAAAAGTTAACTTTTGAGCAAAATTTTAGTCAAATTTAAAGAGCTATCGTACCTTCATGCTCCCAGCTTCATGTCCAGCACAAAAAGGCAAAACGTGCAACGCGGCAAGACCTTTATTGGTATCCAAATTCCTACGTGCAGACTTGAGCCAATCAGATGTGGGGTAAGAAAAGTATCAATGTGACCAACAAATCCGATTCCTTGATAGAAACTTTTGATTGACAGTTGTGAAATGTATTTGAAACGTGTTTCTGTGATGCTGATTCACTGAAAAAATGTGCGGGAAAACCGTTTAAAAATGCAATTTTTGCAAAGGATATAATCGCACATAGATATGAGGTAAACCAAATGATATACAGCACATAGCAATAAAGTATATTGTGCCGAGAGAGTAGCCTGAAAAAAACTCAAAATTAATTCAACAAATATATGTTTTGTTTAAAGCTGTTGATAAATGCCCCGGCGTTAGTGAAGCAAAGCCTTGTTTAATTTTATTCGTGTGCATTGCATTTCGGGTGCGTTAACACGAATCCGGACATTTTCCACGAAATCGCAAACAAACATGACCATGCGCGGAGATTTCCGAGAAAAAAAATATGAAGTAAAAACAGCGTCCGTTTTAGTTGTGTGAACGCACTTGAGAATATGCAGCATAAAAAGCATCCATACACAAGTAAACGAATCTTTTGAACAAGGGATTGGAGAATCCCCCCCCCCCCCCCCCCTCCACCAGTTTTTATTTCCAATTTTATCCGGAAAATCAGGACTTTTATCATGTTATTAAATTCATCCAGTTCGGTTTTGCCTGGCGTTTGAGGGCCGTGGTTTCAAATGACTGATGCGTTAAAATCATGCAATCGTTTTTGTTTGTGGTTTTAGGAGCAAAAATCTAATATAATGTTGGAGAAGGGGAGGAAGAGGGATTGGTGTAAAACAAGTAATAACTAAACAACGCTTTTATGAAACTTCTGTATTTTATTTGTATTTTATTATTGCGTAAAACGTCGTGTGTCCATTAAAAATGTGCATATTTTCTATAAATTTTTAGTGGTACAGTATTAAGGAACCGATAATCAATCTTGACCAAGCAAGTTATTTGAAGGCRTGATCTTCCAAAGGCGCAGCTTTAGACAATTCGGGTAAAGCTTTCATGAATCCTTCTCTGCCATTTAAGAAGTATGTTTGTATTTCGCCTTTTCCCTTCAAGAAAACATAAAAAAGAGAAGTTGAAAAACATCCTCAAACATCCACACTAGCCTCCTTTGCAGACGGTATCAGTTTCGGTCATACATACGTTCGTTGGAGAGGGAACATATGACCGATACTAATAACGTCTGCAAAGGAGGCCACGTCCATACCGACCCAGCAAATCCTAATTGTCTCCTAMATCAAGGTTTACTGCTCTTACCTTCATTGGTATCAGACCTCGTTCTACTAAGTGATAACCTCCTAACTGATCCAGAAGATTTTTACAGTCAGGACTCACGTGGATCCTTAGCGCTGAAATGAATAAATATCAGAAAGTTCCCCTACTATGATGACGTCATGTTTATTTACCGGAGTGCATTGCATTATGGTTGGTAAAACTATCAAGATGGCGGTTGTAAAACTACAGAGCGAGTAGGGGCGGATCTAGGATGTTCTTTAATGAGGGGTGCAGGGCACTAATGGAGACAGTAGATRCGAACTCCATGAAGAATCACAACCAACCGCTGTACCTTGCGAGCCGAAGCGCCATTTTAGGTGGACAAGAAAATGGCGGATTCGTAGGATTTCTTAAAGTGAGCGCGAACCGTCTTCCATCCTTTCAGTTTGGACAGAAATACCTTTAACTAAGTACCTCATAGGTACTATCAATCTATAATCTATTGTAAGTTTGACGCATTTAAACGTATGTAAAATAATAACACGAGCGCRCACTGTATTGTGGTTGGTTAGGATTCTATAAAGGAGACCAAAATTCACAAAGTAGCCAATAATAGTGAGTTGGCTGTCTGTCTGTCTGGTGGTGAGATGTCTACTGTGATTCAAAAAGCTGACTATACAATTCTATAGCTGTACGTACCAAGTCCACTAGATTCCATACGAGAAGCAGTGTTCACMGTATCACCGAACAGACAGTAACGAGGCATCTTAAGGCCAACGACGCCGGCAACGCAGTGACCTGGTATAACACAAAAGTTAAAAAAAAACGCCATTTACAGTTATCTTCCATGGTAGACATGAAGAACGGCTCGGTCCTCTTCGTGTCACTTACTGTAAGACTCGTACTCAATCGTTTCTCTTCCTCGTTTTACGGGTCGCGTTGCATCAAGGGAAGTCCGATAACTTCCAATGATCCTTTGAGCGCGCCAGAGCAAAAAGAAGAGTAGCGASTGGGTACGAGTCTGAATTTACCTTGTTTACAAAGTGTGGACGGAGCCTGATGGTTTTTCTCCAATGAAGGAGTGCTCTACTTTTTGAGATCTTACCTGAATGGATTCCTATTCTAAGCTGGAGCTGTTGGTTCGGTTTGTGTCTTATTATAAAGTATGTCATGTCACTAAGAAGATCAAGAGACATGTTGGCTATCTCGCCTGCGTGTTGGATGCCATTACGTGTTGGGATCCCTGACACTACCATGTAGGAGTCACCTATAGTCTCTACCTTGAATAAGAGAAATAATTAATTAATTGATTGGTTGGTTGGTTGGTTGGTTGGTTGAATCCACGAGTTAGCAAGATGGCGGTCAATTATGAAAGATTACCTTATAAACGTCGTGAGAATCGATAATCTCATCAAAGCACGTATAGAGATCGTTGAGTAAATTCACCACCTGTTATGAAAAGCAATGTCAATCACTTCACGTGAGAATCATCTTTCTAGTAAAACTGACTGAAAAGATACGCGGGCGCTTTCAAAACGTTTACTGGCGCACACATGAAAACGATGTATTTTTGAACAAATTAAGGGTCAAAAGCTCGCTGATAACGCTTTTTCATGTGCGCGCCTGCGATATTTTTGAAAGCGTACGCACTTCTCGAAAATTTTGTATTCTGAGTACCTCYAGAGGTGTGCTTTCTGACGCTAGCTGAGTAAATGCAACAATATCGCTGAAGAATATAGTGACAGATTCAAAGGTCTCTGCGGTAACCGGCTCACCGATCTTTAACTTCTCTGCCACAGTTCTGAATGCAAAACAAAAAAATCTAGTTAAATCTACGTTTAATATATAAGTATTTATTGAAAAACCAGCCCATTCTGTATTCCTTCCAGTCATAATTGCACATCCCACCACCCCACCCCCTGAGGGAGATTAATTAACATTGGTGAACACAGGAAAAGCGTCTATCTAATCCCATAGGTGGATTGTTCAGGGTTTGATATAGACTTATACAATCCCACATGGGATTTACCAGGTGATTGGATTGTTCTATGTAATCCTCTCATCAATC